CATGATCTTGGTGAAAACGGCAATATTTGGACTGGTCTTTCTGATTGGAAGGAGTCCGTGATGGTTGAGGCCATTTTAGTGGGTAATCCCGCTGGATCTGATGGAGGACTTGTTCCATGGAGGAGCTTAGGAGGGTGTACCGCTCGAACTGGCCGGGCGGTCGGGCTGGGGCTAACCGGTCGGTTCTGGGGGGTCGGTCAGTGTACTGAGACGTTTGGTTATTGTACTGGGTATTTCTGGTGTCTGAGTCTTTTCTCTTTTCTCTGGGGGTCGGTTTTTTGGTTATAGGATCTTGCCGGGCGGCTAGGGAATCTTCAGCATTCATGTATTTTTGGGCTTTAGAGAGTAGGGCTGCCATGGAGGTTAGGGGGTTTAGAGAGAGAAAAAAGGAAGTCAGATGATCGCAAACCGGCCATGAAAGCTGTAAGGATGACCTTGTCATCGTTTTCCGCTACTTGCAGGGCTTCGGTGTTGAAGCGGGTAACGAAACTGCGTAGCGACTCCCCCTTGGTCTGACGGATGTTGAGGAGTTGGGTTACCGGACGCCGCTGGCGCTGGGCTCCAATGAAATGGCTGAGGAAAAAGTCACTGAGGTGTTGGAAAGTGGAGACAGAGTCGGCTGGCAGTTGACTAAACCAAAGTCGAGCTGACCCCTTGAGTGTCACGGGAAAAGCTCGGCACATGATTTCGTCAAGGAAAGCATGGAGGATCATGAGGGTCCTGTAAGTCTCCAAGTGGTCGACTGGGTCCGTTGTACCATCAAAAGAGTCGATGGTGGCCATTTTAAACTTGGGGGGTAGAGGTTTATCCCGGATGGAGGCAACGAATAGCGAGTTGGCTGTGGTAGAGGGTTTATGCTGGATGTTTTGCATGACCCCTTGGAGTTGGAGCTTCATGGCTCAGAGTTCTGCGTCCCAGAGAAGAATGTTGTCACCACCGGAGGGCAGCGGGGGCTGGACGTTACTGGCCTCTCCTTCAGGGGTTAGTGCCGGGAACGATGGATGTGGGGGTCGGGGTGGTGGATTTATATTTGGGGGAGAAGGTTGTAAGTCATCCAAGTTGGGTGGATTAGGCTGCAGGATAGTATGGCTCGGGGCTCGTTCTTGGTTGGGGGGAATATCTGGGGGTGGTGGAGGAGGCATATGAAGGTTTCTTTGGAGAAGAGCATTAATCAGGGCTTGGTTTTGCTCGGCCAAGCGTTTAATGCTGTTGATGAGCTCGGTGAAATACGGTGGTGGGTTATTTGGATTGGGGGGGTCAGCTTGGTGATTGGGAACATTGGGGTGAGAAGCCATGGATCTAGCCGTGACCATACACCTTGGCAGGTGGTAGGAAAGGGGTTATTGGAGAAGGGCCTCCGGCGACAATGAGCACAACTGGCGCGCGAAGTAAGATCTTCCCACAGACGGCGCCAACTGATGATACAGTTCGTGATGATAGAACGGGTCGGACTGATCCACGCTCCTTAAGCCTATGTCCGAATGACCAAGCCCACCGGAAGACCTGCACACGAGTTCAACGGGGAACGGGGAGTCCCCCAGCGAACCCTCCGACGAGCAAGTTAGAAAGAGGAGTGGAGTATAAAGCGAGATTAGAGATAGAAAGCTTAACCTTCTTCTTCCCTTCAACGTCTGCTTATATCCTCTGGTAATCATTTCGTTGTCCCTTTTGACCTGTCACCTTGGCCGAAAGTCTATGCTGTAACTTACCTTGTTCAGGGTGAGGGCATACTGTCCCGACGGAGAGGGGTTATCTCAATAAATGCTGTAAGGGGCCTTATTAATGGCGATGTACCGTGGCAATAACTTTGCAGATCTTTGTCTGCTGATGTAGCTTGCTCTTCTCTCGCCATGTGTCTTGATGTCATTGGTTCTTATTGCTATGTGGGGTTTTAGAAGTGCTGGGCTTTAGTATTTGAGATATGTATTGGGTCCTAAACGGTGGGCTATAATCTTTATGAACTTACCTATGTCAAATAGTTTTTTAGATTTTTAGAAATTAAAAAAAGTTGATATATTTAACAAGTTACTAAAAAATTATTTTTTTATAAGTAAAAAATAATAACATGAGATTGAATCTTTTTTTCCAATAATAAATAGATTAGTGATTTTTTTAACTTTTTAACGAAAGCTAAACTTTTTAATAAAGGAAACAAACACATTAGCACATTAATAAATGTGCTGAAGCTAAACACTCGCATCCTAATGCATTGGACAACGATAATTCATTCCACGTAAGCACATAATCACATAAGCACCTACGAATTTCATTCCTGGATACAAAATTGGACAAGTCATACAAAAATCTTAAATCATAGTGTAATTTTTTTCTATGAAATTATTATTTTTTTCATTGAGTTCAAATAACTCGACTGATTTTGTATGACTTGTTCTTAATTTTTATTTCAAACATTGTTCACGTCATTTTTTATAATTAATGGTCCAATTAGTGAGATTTATGGACAATTAAAGAGAAGTTAATTTTATTTGCTCAAGCTTCTGCCAATAGGGACCTTAATGACAAAGTTATTTGGTAGGTTATTTCCTATGACATTATTCCCTAACTTAGGGAAATAACCTCATCCGAAATAACGTAGGAAATAGCTTAGGGAAATAACGTACGAAATAACATAAATAAAAAATTAATGAGCTCTCATAATTTTAAGCAATATAAAAAACATAACAAAAAAATTATCGACTTGAATCGAGTCAAACTAAAGTTTCATTAATATTAAAGAGCTCTCATTATGTGTTAAAAATTAGGTATGCTCCTTTCAGATCTTAAGTTGAACTCTCAGTATGTGTCATGTTTATAGGTATTAATTGAGATTTGTCGGATCTACACGGAAGGGACGTTTGGTGCGGATTGTAAGATTAGTCGATAAATACGTAAACTAATTCAGACATCCGACTATCATAAAAAGTTAAAACTTAATTGAATAAACATAATACAGGCGCATAGAGAATAAGTCAATTGGATAATTCAAATGGGTAAAAATTATCGAGAATGACTCATTTTATAAATCAAATATTTTAATTTTTTCAAACATAATTCCTAAACAATTTTTTTTTTTTTTTTTTAATATCAAATGTTTTCATAATAGCATTTTCCATGACGACTTGAAAGGCCTCTTTTAGCAAAGAGGTAAAAAGTAATTTTTTGACTTCTAATTTTTTGTGGATCAAACTATTCGACCTCTAATGTTTATATCAAATTTTTTGTGGATCACTTCTAAAAAGTTATTTATTTATATCAAATTTATAAAAGGGAATGTCATGAAATTTAAGGAGGAAAAACTTGAAAATGAAATTCAACCCTAAATGGGGCATGAAATTCAAGTAAACTATACTTTTTATATTTAATCACGATTAGATTTGAATTTAGTGCATAAATTTAGTCAAACCAATTTTTCTTATCGTAGGGGCATGTGGCATCAATGGCATATTTTAAAGTTTTCTTTTTTTTAAAAAAAATTTAGTGTACTACTTAAAGGGTCACCCATACAAAATATTAACAATCACAATCACTCTTTAAAAAAATTTAACAAGAAAACGAAAGAAGGCCTACACCGACATGAAATTCAATTATCTGACTTTTCTATTTTGCCATATCCCTATCTCCAAAATATATATATATATATATATATTTGTTCCTGGCCAAAATGACGAGAAAACTTCCATAGCAATTTCTTATCACAAATTTTGTTCCTTACTTTTCAATTTCTTGTTCTTACTTAAAAAATTGAAATTTAGAACAAAAATATTTTTGTTACTCTATTAATTTTAAGTTATTACTACTCCACGTCACCTAATTAATAATAATTTTTACAGCCAAATTAATGTTTCTCTTTCTTATGTAATTAATTAACAGTATTAAAATTCAGCAAATTATCTATAATTAAACACATTCAACAAATTCAACAAATTATCTATAGCAAAAGATTTCACATTCAACAAATTATCTATAATTAAAATTCAACAAATTGTCTATAATTAAACACATTCAACAAATTCTCTATAATTAAAATTCAACACATTCAACATTTACATTCAACAAATTATCTATAGTTAAAATTTCACAAATATAAACCCTAACCCTAATTTATTATTTTTGATTTCATAACATTTTATTCACAAATATAAACCCTAACCCAAACCCCACATTCATGAACCCTAACCCTAATTTATTCACATTTTATTCACAAACATAAACCCTAACCCTAATTTATTCACATTTTATTCACAAATATAAACCCTAACTCTAACCCCACATTCATGAACCCTAACCCTAATTTATTCACATTTTCACAAATACAAATATATTCACAAATATGTAAAGTAGATGATAGAAGCCATACCAACGAGAGAGAGACGGTACTGAAACAGAGGGAGCTCGACAGAGAGAGAGAACAGGGAGCACAGTGACAGAGAGAGGAGTAAGAGCGAGAGAGAGACAGCAAAGGAGAGGGAGACAGCAGACAGGAGTAAGCGTGAATGCAAAGCACGGGGCTGGGGGGAGATTATATACAAGTTTTAAAATCGTGGTTGTGAACCACGAGTTCACTTAATGGCAAAAAATTTGGGCAAAAATCGCGGTTATAAAAAGCGAGTTCAGAACAAAAAAGTTTTGCTAAAATCGTGGTTTGGAAAAGCGAGTTCGAATAAAATCGTGGTTACAGATAGCGAGTTCAGAACAAAATTTTTTTTCAACAAAAGCGGGGTTGCGAACAGCGAATTCAGAACATAATTTTTTTCGATGAACTTGTGGTTTGTAACAGCGAGTTCAAAAGAAAGAAAAGTTAATTAAAATCGCGTTTTATAACCACGATTTATTAATTGAAAGCGCTTTTTGTAACCACGAATTTAAGATTTTCCAACTTTCACCCGGGACAGACGGAAAAATGTTGAAATCGCGATTGTAAACCGCGAGTTAACTTATTCTGAGAATTCTTTAAAAATTAGGCTTAATTTGAGAATTGATTTACTATTTTAGCTTATTTAGGGAAATGACCCAATATTCGCCATGCCCTTACTTACCGCGAGCCTCTCAGTCGCATGATCTGGATTAACACATTCCATTCCATTTAAACAGCTCCATCAGGATGATCAGTACGTGAGCTACCACTACTCCCTTTAGCTTTACTGATACGCTGCTTATAAAGTTGCTCTCTTGCACGAAATACAGATGTCAATGCTTCAAGTGGTTTGTCAAGGGACGATGATGATACCTCCTTGTTAGCTGTTGCTGCTTCTACCACGTCTGGATTTGGTGTTGGGACGCTGTTTTTATCGGAGGAAGAGTGAATTGATTGATCCTCTGATTGTGTTGTTGTCTCCATCATCTTGCTTCTTCTTGGAATCGTTGTTGAAATTGGGGGTTTCTGTATCTTGACTGTAGAGTGGAAGAAGAACCCAGATTCAAAAGCAATTGAAATCGCAATCAAACAAGTTATAAAGCCGCAACCAAACAGACTTCTTTTGCCATCTTCTTCAACACAAACTCTTGCACACTACTTGTTTGATAGTTGGTCTCACAGACATTTCGTCCCTCATTGCCATTACCAAAATGCATAGAAATTTCATGTTCTTGCGCCCACACCAATGTCTTGGATCATCTCTTATTGATAGAAGAGTAAACTGTGAGGGTTTTGGTATGAGCTCATTTGGGAAATCAGGTTATATGAGGGTCCTAATAATGCACAAAACCTGTGGAGGAAAAAGACCCAAGAAGAAAATCTACTACAGAGTCCATGAACTTGACAGAGCCATGGACCTTCAAAAGAAACCGTCAATAATTCTGCAGCTCAAGTCTATTGTCCAAGCCCAGAAAAGCCAATCTCTCCTCCTCAGAGACCTTGAAAAAGAAGTTGGGTTCGTTCAAAAATGGAATTTCATGGCTGTTATTGAGAAGTACCCTACTATCTTTCATGTTAGTGGTGGTAGGAGAGCACCTCCCATGGTTATGCTTACAGAAAAAGCTAAAAAGATTGCGGCTGAAGAAATTTACACCAGAGACCAAATGGAACCCATTGTAGTTAGGAACCTGAGGAAGTTGTTAATGTTGTCGATTGATTGTCGGCTCCCACTGGAAACTGTCGAATTCATTGAATCTGCAATGGGTTTGCCTTGTGACTTCAAGAAGTCTTTGATTCCCAAGTACCCAGAATACTTTTCTGTGAAAGATGTTAATGGCAGAGCACATCTTCAGTTGGAAAATTGGGATTCGGGCCTTGCGGTAACAGCTCGGGAGGAAAGATTGGCGCGGGAAGGGATTCTGGCCGCTATTGGACGTTCAGGAAAGGTTAGAATCTCTAAAGATGGTAACTTCCTGGGTCCTTTTGCTTTTCACTTGAGTTTTCCTGTTGGTTTTAGACCAAACAAGAGTTACCTTGAAGAAGTTCAGAGGTGGCGGGCCTTGCAGTAACAGCTCGGGAGGAAAGATTGGCGCAGGAAGGGATTCTGGCCGCTATTGGACGTTCAGGAAAGGTTAGAATCTCTAAAGATGGTAACTTCCTGGGTCCTTTTGCTTTTCACTTGAGTTTTCCTGTTGGTTTTAGACCAAACAAGAGTTACCTTGAAGAAGTTCAGAGGTGGCAGAAAATGGAATTCCCTTCTCCATACTTGAATGCGAGGAGATTCGAATCTGCTGATCCAAAAGCTCGAAAGCGAATGGTGGCAGTGCTTCATGAACTCCTTAGTTTAACTATGGAGAAGAGGATGACAGCTGCTCAACTAGAAGCATTTCATTCGGACTATCGGTTGCCAGCTAGATTGTTGCTTTGCATGATAAGGCATCATGGTATTTTTTACATTACTAATAAAGGTGCAAAGAGTACTGTATTCCTTAAAGAGGGTTATGATGGGTCAAATTTGATTGACAAATGTCCTCTGTTGGTTTTTTGGGATAAATTTGTTGCACTTACGGGTAGGAGAGAGATTGATTCTTATATTGGGATGCCTTCACAAATTTTACATGACAGTGTCACTTGATAATATTAGTAATATAAAGACAATTCTCTTTTTCTTGAAGCTCATGCAATTTATTTTCTGTCATTTGTCATTTTATTGCTTGACCTATTGAATGAACAGATCTTGTCATTATTTGAATATTCAGGTAGTTGTGTCCTTTTGTATTTTAGTTCTCTTTTCCAGTCTTATAGTTTCATGAATAAATGAGAAAGTTCCCGAACAAAGAAGAACTAATACATCAAGTTTTGGCATGGATGTTTCTAGAAATTCATGAATGATAATTTTTTTTTTGCTATGATATTTCAAGAATGATTATCTCATCTAAATTAAATCCTTTACCTGAAAACCAAAGCTTACTCTAATACTGGAGTCAAAAAATAAAAGCTTAAACTTGTGCCTTTGTTTGCTTCAGTAACTATATTCTCCACTCTGGTTTGCACTACAACAAAATTAGGTTTTCATGGCATCACATCAACGATATACAATAAATGCACGCCGTAGTTTCTCACTTTTACAACTTGCTTTTTTTTCACGTCGTGAATAATTTTTCAACCACGGCGTGTCTATTGCGTAAGCCGTGAATAGTAGTAACGATGATTTTTTTACGGCTTGCAATGTTTGCCGTAAATAATAAAACTTTCTATGACATGCATATGACATGCCGTTAATACATCAACTATACACGACACACATACGCTAGTCGTGAAAAGTATTGCACTTTTCACAGCGCACACAACGCCTGCCGTTAAAAATATAGTACTTTTTACAACGCACAATTTATGTCGTGAATGGTATGACCAAAAAAAAATAGGCACCATAATGAAATTTCTGGCGCCAATTCGCCAAAATAAAAAAAAAAAATATTAAGAAAAGAACATATACATCGACTATTTGAGATTCTAATCATAAGAGAACTGGTTCGAAGGGTTTCAATCTCTCTTCGGCGGCGATTGACGGTAGACGACTCTGAATCTGAACAAAACCAACTCAAGAAGACTTCTTCATCAAAAAAACCCTTTTTGTCTCTGAAGAAACCAGTGATCGCTCAGACCTCAACACCAAATCCCCGATCTTCATCTAAAGACGATTCAAGCTCCAAATCGGACTCCCCTCCCACCAATCCTCGCATCAAGCCTGTTGCTTCGAAACCCATGGAAGACGATCAACCCAAGCCACTAAGAAACCTAGATCCAAGCCTGGTTCAGCAAAATCTGTAGGCAAAAGGACTGCGACGAGTGAGAATAACAACAATTAGGAATTGAAGAGGGCGAAGAAGAAAGCGGTGGATTCTGATGTGGTTGTTCAAGAGGAGTCGGCGAAGAAGACTGGTGATGATACGAAGAAGCAATTGTTTCAGAGGCTGTGGAGTGAAGGGGATGAGATTGTGATTTTGAAAGGTATGATTGAATATACTGCGAAAAAAGGGTCTGATCCACTTGCTGATATGAATGCTTTTTACGATTTCATCAAGAAATTGCTGCAGAATATATTTGATCTGTGGTTCTTACTGAACATAAATATTTATTCACTGTGTTTGATATTTCTTTAAACTTGAAATATATCAATTGCGGCTGCTTTGAGTGGCTGAATTCACCTTGAAGTCATGATTTATTTATTTTCGGATTTTAAGTTTGGTGATGATGCTTTTAATATACTTAAGGAAATCCTATTATGTATAGATTTGACATTAAACACCTATTCTGCAATTGAAGAATTTCAGTAGAAATTTTGTATTCTTAGTTTGGGTATGTTTGTGTATCTGTGTTTGCTTAGGTATCTCTATGTATCTCTATTTTGGGATGTCTCCAGCAGAGAAGAAAACTGTACATATATTATTTATGCCCCCTGGGTGCTTGATAAAATGCCACTAAGAATGGCTGGTTCTTATTATACTTTTATATTGTTTTCTTGTGGGTGTTTTTTTAATATATATATATATCTATACTATTATTAAAAGTGAAACCTCATTTTCCCATGGTTTAAAGCGACAATGGTTTAAAGGATTTTCATGGAAAAAATTTCCGCCTAAATAAACTTGAAATGGTTTTTGTTGATTTTTGTTTTCCATTTTCTATCGTGCTCATACCAAATGTTAAATGCGGAAAACTTTTTCTCAAAAATGTTTTCTGTCCAAAAAAATGCAGTAGTGGTGATAGTTACTTATCGCTTCAAATAGCCATAGCTATCATTTTAGTTTGGTCAGTGAGTGAGTTGATACTTGGCATTTCCTTAACCCATTTTGATGTGTAGATTTTATTACATCAGAAAATATAAAAGCCTTTGCTTCATCTTGTATTACATCAAAGAATAAAAACTATTTTCTGTACGTTCCCTGTCATGAGTGTCCAACTGAGAAAGATTTTACAATGCACTTCTTTTCTCTATTGATCTTCATACATTCTTAATAGGCTGCGAGTCTTGAAAAGCTATGTCAAACAAGAAGCGAAAATATTCATGAAGAAGAATCAAAGAAAGTTGGTCTATGGCAAAGGAGAAAGCTGCCAAGTCTAATGCAGCAAAGGATGTTATGATAGTTTTGACACTGAAGGTAATATACTATTTTCTCTGTTGGTTAAATGCCACACGTTTCTAAAACCTTGGCTTATTAATCTTTGAGAATGCCTTTTTCCCCAAAAATGGACAGGACATATGAGCTTCATTAAGCATATCTATATTTTCCAAAAGTGTAGCATAGTGATCCTACAATTCATATAATCGATAATGAGAAGCCTTATCTGTCAGAACTAATATAATATATATCACATGGTAAATTTCAAAGATTTTTATTTTATTTTTTGTAATAAGAATAGTTTTTTATCACTCTATATGACAACTGACTCATCTTTCTTTTGTGCTTATTGCATGTTAAAAGATAATTTCAAATAAAATAACAGTAGGTGTAAAAACACTTAACTTGGGTCTTTTGGCAGAGCGACCCAGATTGGGTTTTTGGAGGGATCACAATTGTCTCCAGAATATTGGGAACAATAGCAAGAGGTTTTGTTCTGGATAAAATGACTAACACAATCCCCAATGCTTTTAAGGTAAACACTCTTAATGGTTGGCTTTAGGATTACCTTTCTGAATTTTGATTTATTGAATTCTTGCTTTATCATATCGAGTAATTATTTTTCCTGTTCGGAAATTCTCTGCTTAGCTGTGTGATCCATGTCAGTTCACCATTCAACTAGTACTTAGTCCTTTAATATTCCTTTTAAATTTTACTTTAGTAAAATCTGTTTGCCGTGGCATTTGAAGTCTTCTTATAATAAACTAAATGTTTGAGTGAATTTCTTATCAACTTTGAAGTAGATGCGTGAGTACCTCCGATAATGAGTCTGGTTGCTCACCAAGCGCTCGAAGTCCTCCGCGGAACGCCACAGGTTTGAGCCTTCTAAACCCTGCATCCATTTTGTCTCCTTTTTGGACCACGTCTTGGTCTCTCCCTCTTGCAATCTTTGGTGGCCTGCCGGCCATCTATGAGGGCTACCGGCCAGGGCTTCTGACTTGCCGGCCATCAACGATGCCTTGCCGGCCACTAGAGTTTTCTGCAGATATTTTGTGCCAGCTGGTTGCATAGAGGCTTGCATCTTGTAGACACCCCATTTTTGACTGTCCTCAAGACTTGGATGTTCTTGCAGGAACATCCAGTGACAAGTTTGATTGTTCATTGAGCGCTCGTATTCCGTGGCAGAACGCCACAGGTTTGAACTTTCCAAACCCTGCATCCAATTCTATCTCATTTTTTGACCATGTTTTGGTTCTTCCAGCATGTTATTCTTGATGCATTGCTGGCCATGATAAGGCACTGTCGGCCATGGATTTTGGCTTGCCGGCCATTGAAGTGCCCTGCCGGTCATCAATTAGGATGGTCGGCTGGCCACCAGTGCATCAGTAGATATTTTCTGATATTTTGTGCCAGCTGTTTGCACAGATTGGAGCATCTGCTTGCACATGGATGGTTGGATCACTTTGAGAGGATTTTGTATCTTCTATATATAGACGTCTTCCTTTTGCATGCAAGGGGTTGGAAATTTTGAAGACAAAAATTTCTCTCTCTCTCTCTCTCTCTCTCTCTCTCTCTAGAATCCTCTCTCTTAAATATTTTGCCTTAAAGCCTAAATTCTCTACACTTTTACATAGAAACCCTTGATCAAATTTGATCATCTTGGTGTTGAGGTTGCTTGAGGTCCTATTTGGGCTCTAGAAGAGGATATTAGCTTGGTTTGGCTTGCCTTTGTTGCCTAAATAGCATCTTGTCTTCAAAGAGGTAGAATACTTGTATTTTAAGCCTAATTTAAATACTTGTTTGGCCAC